TTCACTTATGGGTCAGGTTGAGTTGGCTAATATGTCCTAACAATGGTTTGTCCCATATCAATCTCAATAATGGGTTTAATACTAACAAAATAATTCAGGCGGAATATCACCAACATCACCCCCACCATGGGTCGGGTTCGATAATATTACTAACCAGTCAGCAGGATTCTGAAGCCACGTTAGCAATTCTGGAACATCAAAAAATAGAGATCCACCAGTATCCACCCAACAACATTTGCCGCCAGGAGTTTTTTGGTTAAGTCCAACAACTGAGATATCTGACTTTTTTCTTTCAATGCTTTCATTTCCTTCACCAACAATGTTGGAGTTATTTTCTTCAGGCAAAGGAAAAGAGGAAAGCGAATCGTTGGCTAACTGTTGGAAAAGAACCAATCTAGGGGACGCTGATCTTAGAATGAGAGAAAATTCAAATAATGAAGCCAGAGGTTCACTTAGAAGTAAACGTCCATGCTTCAAAATTTTCTTCAGACAATCTTTAGCACTAGAAGCATCAGCATCAGCATCATTTCCTTCCTCACGAAGCCAGATCTCAATAAAATCCCAGTAAAGGTCTTTCCGTTCTTTAGCAAGTAATTCACTGTACTCAACAAAGAATAGAAGTCAATGCGTTGTCTAAAACCAAAAAACTTCATAAAAATCCCCTGATCGCAACTAAGCAGTTCAATTTTCGACATTCATTCTTCAATTTCCTTTAAAATTAAGAAAAACAACCCATCTTTCAGATATGAACACGCCCACTTTAAAAACAAACAAATGCCACCACCCAAATGAAATGTATTGCTCAAACACAAGCATTGCATTCAATGTCAATCATTGTCACAGTGGGAAATTGGATTTCAATGGTTAAGAGCTGCAGCTGCCAAATTATAAACCACCTCTTCGAATGTCATCAAAGCTTTTAACAACTAAATGGTGCAGTGCTTTATCTACATAACTCCATTTTCTTCAACTAAAGAACACGCCATTACAAATGCTTCAAATCAATAATTACACAGCATCAAAGAGAGAATGAAGCAAAAATACCCAGCTTCCAGGAGAACTGAAGTGCCAGACCATTTGGCTTGAACCGCAACCTGCACGTTCTTGGGTCTTCGAATCTCAGAAAAAGCTCCACTACCTCCATAGATTACCAACAACGATAAAACGACCAGAGCTCGACGCCCAGATCCAAAACAGCTCGTCTCCATTAGCAAAAAAAAAAATGCAAAACGAATCACGATCTTCAGTTCAATCGATCAAATTTAGAGCCTCCACCATCGATGGTCTCGGAAAGAGATGGGTGAAAAATGAGAGACCGACTATTGGCGAGAGAATGAAGTTTGGAAAGTGAGCCTCTCAAGCTCGGCGACGATGGAGAAGACTCCGCAGTGGAAGGAAAAACCGCATGGCCAATAGAAGGTATTATCGTTATTCTAAAGACTATATAAGGGTATATTTGTCATTTGGATAGCCGCGTCAAACTGCCGACGTGGCTCCCGTTTATTGGATAACCATTAACCGGATTTGGATAGTCAAACGGACCGGTCTTTGAGCCCACTACCATACAAATAAGCCCAATAGGTTATCAGCCGAAAAGACAGGCCCATCATGGCACGGCCCACGATGGAAATTTCTTAAAAAATATTTAAAAAATAATAATATTATCATATTTTTTGCCTTTTTGACCAATATTAAAATAGAGTCCTAAAAAAATATTATTTTGGGAAAACTAATATTTTTATTTATTTATTTATTTTGAAAAGTCCTGAGCATTATTGGTTGTCCTGTGACTATTAAATGCCAAATGAATTGTATTGCGAATTGGTCCATACATTTACGTGTAGTACGTTCAATTAGGGCCACATGTTTTCGTTTTTGTGGACCAAATATGTGAAAGGAAGACCATAAAACTTACCACACACCTTTTTGGTCGGTTTAACGTTAAAAATTGCATCGATCTGGATATTATCCATTTTGAACATAACTTCTCAATAATCCTCTCCAAATCTCGAACATGGGACATTATAGATGATTTAGAGATGAATTTCTCCTATTAGAACAGGATTAAAGGATGAACCAAGGCGGAAACTGGTGAACATATAATGTTCAAGTAAATAAGAGGTACACGAATAAATCAAGTGTGATTATGAAACTACACTGTTTAAAAAATGAATAATAAATAAATAAATAAATTGCTACAAATCATATAGGGATGAGATGGTCGCATATTCAAGTTCATTTTATATTAAAATATTCAAACATATATATAAAATAAAAAATAAAAAACATTATAATTTAATGCTCGGGAAGATGTGAGCCATACAAGCTTCCACCTAAAATTTTGTTTCAATTTTAATTCGACACGTGGAATCTGTAGATACTTAGCTTGACTCCATGTGTTTGCAATGACATCGTACTTTATATTATTATTATTATTATTATCGTCATTTATATTAGGTGACTAATAAATTACTCTCTCAACATTTACGCTCAAATCTCTTGGTCAATAAATCTTTAATTTTTTTTTCTTTAATATAAATTAATGTTTAAAAAATATTTAATAAATCTCAATTCTATTATCATTTTATCCGACATAATTTAATTTTTATATCTAATAATTAATAAGTTAAACTTTTAATTTAAAATTTTATTAGACCTTCTTTAAAAAAAAAATTACAGATATATTAATCACAAAATTGAAATTAAAAAAAAAAATGTAATTAATAATATTAATGTAAGTTGAGGAAACTAAAAAACAGCCTAATTTAAAACCTATAAAATATTATTGAATCCTACGAAGACTTTTAAATCTATAATTTAAAGTTGATTCTTAATCCCACCAAACCAACAACTGCATTTATTTATTTATTTATTTATTTTTAAATAAAAATATATATACCATTTTCGTGGGAATCTAGAAAATATTACCTCCTACCGAACGACACCGTTTTTTTTCTTTTTTCTTTTTTTTTTACTCTATGAAGATACAATAAATATATATATATATATATATATATGGTACCCAGTCATTGAAATACATTGACAGCTAATCATCTTTAAAAGAATGCAATGGACGGAATAAATGAGCATTAAAAAAATTGCCAATGTTTTAAAATAAATTTTAAAATATTTAAATTTTACCAATTTTGAAGTGAAACTCGAAGAGAATGAAAGTGCACTGTCTTGGTATATATAATAATATTTTTTTTTTAATGTTCCTTAACAAATTATCATTTATTTGAGTGTCACAAATTAAATTGTCAATTGAATTTACAAAATATAGAAATTTAATTAATGGTTCTAGGAAAAAAATTATTTAATGACCATCACTTTAAATGAAAATTAATTATTTTTTAAATTTATATAAGGCTTTATAATTTAATTTTGAAAATTTTGTTTCACAATTTTTTTTTTATAAAAAAAAAAAAAAAGAACATGTAATAAAAAGGGAAAAGTAAAGATTCTAGACCCATTGGATATTTCACTTTATTTCTTATCTTTAAAATATTCTTATTCAATCTACATCAAAATATTATTTTTATTAAAAATGTTTAACCTATGTTTATTAAAAGGGCAATCATGTCAATATTATTTTAAATATTTTCATTCATTTAAATATATATATATATATATATAATTTGCTTTAGTTTAAGTATTATATTAAAATCTTGGAAAAATTATTTTCTTTTCATTGATTTTCAATTAATTAGTTAATTATTAAAAAAACTGAATTTAAATGGTTAATTTTTTACTAAAAAAACATCATTAAACCTCCTCAATACAAAACAATATTAATATCAAATTATCTAACCATTCATATTTAAATATTTAATTATATAATTCAAATTATTTAAATCATATATATAAAAAATAAGTTAAAAAAAAAAACAACAACAACAACAACAAGTGGATATTGGCATAGTCTACGACAATGATTCCCCATCCTCGTCTCCATCTCGAAAAAAATTCTCATCCCTCCTTTATTTTTCATTTAAATAGGAATTTTCAGTCGAGTAAAGGGCGATTATTCACAGATCAAATAGACATTATATTATATATTTTATTTTTCAACTTCTTTACAAATATCTATAATCCAAACCGTCTAGTAATTTCATTACATAATGTTAAATTTAATACGAGTAAATTGTGTAAATTGTTAAACATTTGATATAGTTACAAATTTTACGACTGAAATATGTAAGTTCAGTTCAAATTTTTTTAACCAGACGTTGTCATCATCGGAATTTATCTCATATAACGTTTCTCATACCAACCGTCAAATCTTATTGACATAGTTAGAACAGTCGTCTTCATAGAAGATAGCATGTCGCTCTAAATGGAAGATTCCGAGAAAATGTTGCAAATTATTAATATTTTTAAATAAGAAAAATGTTTAAAACATGCGGTGTAGCACCATAATAAAGACTGGTACCAATATCAATAGTTTCTTCAATGTAGAATGGAAAGCATGAGTGGATGGCTAAGCTAAAGTAGGTAACTAATAAATCTTTGATGGTCGAAATTTTAAATTATTTTTTTACCTTAAAAAAAATTTCAAAAAATAGAACGAGGCGAAACATGATTCAAAGCTTCGAAAAATTTATTAATATTTTAATATTATCTTATTTTAAAAAGATTGTAATATTTTTTTCTAATGTTTTTATATGTTTAAATGTCAATCGAGGCGAAACATGATTCGAAGCTTCGAAAAATGGGTCGGGATAAATTTATTTATTTTTTGTTTTTTTTTTTAAATTAGAAAGGTGGTAAATTATTTAGAGAGAGAGAGAGATTGATTGATTGGAAGCCTCCACGCCACCCCCACCACGGACCATATTCAATTGGCTTTTCAGCCTTAATATTTCGTCGGAATCAGAGTAAAAATCATACAAATCAAAATTCAAACCACCAATAGGATCAAAGAAAAATAATTATAATTATAATAATAAATAAATAAATAAAATAAAAGGACCACCAACCCAACTTTCACATTCTCCATAATAATGCCACAAAGTTTTCACTCTCCCCTTCAATTTCCTCATAGCCTCAAAAACATTCTCATTTTCCTCTCTAGCTAAGTTTGTGGGTATCCATGGACGTGGAGTCCTCCCGTTGGTCTCGGGCGGCTGAGAAAGATGGCGGTAACAAGAAGGAAGAGAAGCACGGGAGTGACGAGAAGGACGACGCCGACATGCCGTCGTCGTTGAACCTTAGAGAGCTTTCTAAAGTTATACTTCCACCTTTGGGAGTGTCGAGCTTCACTGATGGAAGTAAATTTAAGGGTAATAAATGGATCATCTCTCCTATGAGTTCAAGATATAGGTATACACTATCACTTATCGTCCTTACCCTTTCTCTTAGCATTTTTATTTGTTTTAATTCAAAAAATAAGACGAGATAGAATAGAGATCATCTAAATTTATTTAAATTCCACGTTAATTTAAATTTTTTTTATTTTACTTTGCTTAATTAAAATTTTAACTCTATGTATTATCTTAGTTAAATATATTAAAATATTTAGAGAGGGAGAAAAAAATATTTAATTTATATGGAGACTCAATCAAATTAGAAAAAAAAAAAAAAAAAGACTTTTTTTTCTTAGATTTGAGAAGTCATAAAATTGTGATCATATCCAACGGTCATGATTTCTTTGTTTTCAACTAAAAATTTTGAGCAAGTCATGCATTTTGACTGTTTTTTGAAAAAATCATTTAAATTATTTTATTGAAAATTAACTTTATAAAATTAATCATAGATTAATATTTTATTTTTTTATGTTTTTTTAAAATAAATATACTATTTGACAACCACCGACATAAAAAAGTGAGCTTTGGTACGAAAAAGATTATTTGCCATATGAAGAAGGTTTTTCGTTTGCTAATTAATTAAAAATATAATAATAATTACTAATTTAATGCAAATTTATGGGGAAATTTTTCACAAAATAAATAAATCAATATGCCAATTATTTTCTTTAATTTTAGACCCACCAAATCTTGAGATATCTTTTTTATTAAATGAAAATAAAAGCAAGAGAAAAATGAAATATAAAATAAGAAAAATATATCAAAATTCAAACTTTTTAAAAAATAAATATATTTCTCGGGAAATTCATTTATTTATTTATTTTCATAGCAATACCAATAAATAATTTTTTACGGAATTGAATTTTTATTGAATCCGTTTAGTAACTATGTGATTTTAAAATTAAGTCTATAAATATTTTATTTATTTTGTGATCTATTTTTACATTTAAAAAATATTAAAATATTAAAATGTCAATATTTGTGTAAGTATCAATAATAAGTATTTTAATTTTTTTTAAAAAAGATGTAAATATATATTTAATTTTTTTAAAAAATAAATCAGTATTTGATGCGCATTTCTATCTAGAAATTCATGAAAAAAAAAATCAGGATTAAATTGTTATGACAACAAAAAGTCACAAAAGCGCGCACAACTGGAGAGAAAAAAGAACATTGGCGATATGAATTCTGAAAAATGGGAGGCGAATTTGCAGGTGGTGGCAGTCGTTCATGGTGGTCTTGGTTGCTTACTCGGTGTGGGTGTATCCATTGGAAGTGGCGTTCAAGGATGCAATTCCGAAGCGGGAATTATTAATTGCAGACAATTTTGTCGATCTCTTCTTCGCCTTCGACATCTTCCTCACCTTCTTCGTTGCTTACATTGATCATCGGACTCAGCTTCTTGTTCGTGATTCTAAGAAGATAGCTATCAGGTTTGAATTCTTTATTCCATTCTCCTTTTTGTTCACGATGGGTCTTTGAAATCTGTTTTTTAGCTTGAAATTTGGTTGTGGGGATTGAGTAAATCCATCTTCTGAGGCCTTGGTTGGAATTAGTTTTGAGAATTGGAATGGTTTATGAACTGAAGTGTAAATTATGATGAATTTTCTTTGAAATTAGCTGCTCGTTGGTTGAGTATTTGGATGTTTGAAATTATGTGTTTAGAGACAGCTGAGAACATGGTTTTAGTTTGTTGTTATGGTAAATTTTGGAGTTCTAGTTGCTGAGTATCTTTTAATGTTCTTGAGGAACATAATAATCAAAGAGAATCTACTTGAAAGAGCATTCCTAAATAGTAATCGCATAGTTGTGGCTGTGGGCGTTGTGGCTGAACTTATAGAATCTGCAAGTCTGGTTGTAAGAGTCCAAATCCACTTCGAGTCAATATTGTTCTTTTTGAGTTTTTCTTTTCAGGCGTCCCTTCAAGGGTTTTAAAATGCATATGCTAGGGAGAGATTTCCACACCCTTATAAATAATGCTTAGTTCCCCTCCCCAACCGATGTTAGATCTTACAACCCACTCCCCTTCGGGACCCAACGTCCTCGTTGGTACTCATTCCTTTCTCCAATCAATGTAGCATCTCACAATCCACCCCCTTTCAGAGCCTAGCGTTCTCACTGACACACCGCTTGGTATCCACCCCCTTCGGAGTCCAGCGTCCTCGTTGGAACTCGTTCCTCTCTCCAATTAATCTTGTTATGCTCTTTAACACAAAGTCTTACTCTTATAAATTCATCCAGTTTTAAGCAATCTTTTCCTTTGCCAAATGATGTGATGAATGCATCATGGAAAATGGAAATTACTATTACCTCTTAGTGTTCTACACCTTGCCCATGATGTAGACAGGGCGTCACCACTTACTGTCTGTAATATTGTCAAAATGTCACATATTTGTGATGGGATTTTAGGCTAAATCTCTAGAACTTATGTAAATGGTTTTCCATAGGTACTTGTCAACATGGTTCTTGATGGATTTGGCATCAACAATCCCATTTGAGACAATTGGATACCTTTTTGTTAGCAACTATAATGGTGGTCTCCCTTATGCCCTCCTGGGATTGCTCAAGTTTTGGCGACTACGACGTGTCAAGCAATTTTTCACAAGGTTTGTTCTCAAGTTGTGTTATCTTGTTGGTCACTTATCCCAAAAGCTCCAACCCCATCAATGTTTGCTTTCATTTTGCAGGCTAGAGAAGGACATTAGATTCAGCTACTTTTTGGTTCGATGTGCTAGGCTTCTATCTGTAAGTAAAATAAAGAATCTGTTCTTGTTCAAAGCTGATTGAAACTTCTTGAAAGGTTGGCTCGATTGGAGAGAGGAACGAGTGCCAGCAAAGATGCTGGGTCCCGAATGGGGTGGATTGTGAGATCCCACATCGGTTGGGGAGGAGAACAAAATATTTTTTTTATAAGGGTGTGGAAACCTCTCCCTAACAGACGCGTTTTAAAAACCTTGAGGGGAAGTCCAAAGAAGACAATATCTACTAGCGGTGAGCAAGTTGTTGAAGATGGGGTACATTTTTTTTCTGTTTGTAGGTTACTTTGTTTTACGTCCACTGTGCCGGATGCCTCTACTACTTGTTGGCTGACAGATATCCAAATGAAGGACAGACCTGGATTGGAACCATGAATCCAAATTTTAAAGAGATTAGCTTTGGAGTGAGATATATTTCAGCCTTGTATTGGTCTATCACCACCATGACGACTGTTGGTTATGGTGATCTTCATGCTGTGAACATTGTAGAGATGATCTTCATCATTTTCTACATGCTCTTCAATCTCGGCTTAACCGCTTACTTGATCGGTAACATGACGAACTTAGTCGTCGAAGGAACTCGTCGCACGATGGAATTTGTAAGCACTCACATCAGTTTCTAAATCTGATATCCATTGTTTTAACTTCGACCATTACATGAAATGTTTGTTTGGTTTGATCATTTTTGTAGAGAAACAACATCGAAATGGCGTCAAACTTTGTTAACCGTAACCGGCTGCCTTCGAGATTGAAGGAACAGATATTGGCATATATGTGTTTGAGATTCAAGGCAGAGAGCCTAAATCAACAACAGCTGATTGATCAGCTTCCAAAGTCGATATGTAAAAACATCTGTCAGCAATTGTTTTTGCCAACAGTGGAGAAAGTCTACCTCTTCAAGGGTGTCTCAAAGGAAACACTTGCATTGCTGGTGAGCATCATTGTTCTTTGTCTTGACAAACAAAGTTAGGATTAGCTGACCTATGAACTTAACTATGGCACAAATTTGGACAGGTAGCAAAGATGAAAGCTGAGTATATACCTCCGAAGGAGGACGTGATTATACATAGCGAAACCCCTGATGAAGTTTATATCATCGTGTCCGGGGAAATCGAAATTATCGACTGTGAGATGGAGCGGGAGCAGATTGTTGGGACACTACAGTGTGGCAGTATGTTTGGGGAAGTTGGAGCACTTTGTTGCAAAAACCAAAATCTTACATACAGAACCAAAACTCTTTCACAGCTCTTGAGGCTTAAAACAAGTATACTACAAGAAGCTATGCATGTCAGGCAAGACGACAGTATGGTCATTGTCAAGAACTTCCATCAGGTTCTTATATAATTTCATATCCATTTCTCTTTAGAACTGAATCTCTGAGTATAAGTCCCACTAAAACTAAAAGTCCCTAGATTTTTCAGTTTATACTTGGATTCTGTTTGTAACCGTCCAAGTCCACCGCTAGCAGATATTGTCCTTGTTGAGTTTTCCTTTTCGAGCTTTCCTTCAAGGTTTTAAAACGTGTCTACTAGGGAGAGGTTTGCACACCCTTATAAGGAATGTGTTGTTCCCCTTTCTAACTGATGTGGGATCTCATAATCTACCCCCTTTGAGAGTCCAGCATCCTCGCTGTCACACAGCCCGGGGTCTGCTCTGATACCATTTAATAACAACCCAAGCCCACCGCTAGCAAATATTGTCCTATTTGGGCATTTTTCTTTCGAGTTTCCCCTCAAGATTTTAAAACGCGTCTACTAGGATAAGTTTCTACACCCTTATAAGAAACGCTTCATTTCCCTCTCCAACCGATGTGGAATCTCACAATCCAATCCCCTTGGGGCCAGCGCCCTCGCTGGCACACAACTTGGTGTCTACCTCTGTTATCATTTATAACAACCCAAGTCAATTGTTAGCAGATATTGTCCTCTTTAGGCTTTTCCTTTTGGGCTTTCTCTCAAGGTTTTAAAACATGTGTATTAGGGAGAGGTTTTCACACCCTTATAAGAAATATTTCGTTCTCCTCTCCAACCGACATGGGATCTCACACTGTTTAAGCAAAACTTGTTTTTAGAACAAATGAAGTTGTTCTTCATTAAAAAGTCTATAAGAACGTCTTAACTTTTACCATGTCTCTGCTCATAGTTTTCCAATTCAATCTCGAAAATGATGTAAAGAAAAATCCTTTATTAAATCCTTCAAGAAAACGATTGCAGGAAAGGCAGGCCAGCCACAGAATCACCATAGAAGGTTCAGTTGAAAAAGAAACGCCCGCGTTCAATGAAGAAAAGGATCAAAGTTTCAACTGGAAACACTCCATTGAATTAGACTTTGCTAGAGTAAATGTATACAAAGGCCATCCAGTAGCCAGAAAACAGGCTTCTTGTGAAGATCCTGGAAAGCTCATCAGATTGCCACATTCAATGGAGGAGCTCAAAAGAGTTGCAGGTAACACTAATGGGAAACTTCAACACTTTGACCGATTTTCGTCGTTCTAAAAGCCCTTTCAAACTTGCACTTTCCTTATAGTTCAAAATCAGATTGATTCGTTCCTGAGTCCAGTTTTTGCAATCTTAACAGGTGAAAAGCTTGGATTTGATGCAAGAAATGCTGTTTTGACAAATGAAGAAGGCTCTGAAATTGACTCCATTGATGTGGTAAGGGATAATGATAAGCTTTTCTTTTCATAGTTGCAGATGATGAATCTCTGTAATCTGAGGCTATGAAAATAAATAGGTATTAGATAACCAAGGGGGCATTTTCCAGCAAAAACAAAAAGGGAATGCCTCACCAATCATCTTTTTGTACTGAATATTTGTTTTCAACCAAGTCTTAACCGGTTGACTTCAAGGGCATAGTCTCGTGTCTAAATATATTAACAAAACATATATATATATATACACGTTATTTTATTTTTAAATTTTACTAAAAACAAATTCTCTATGCTATACTTAGCCTATTATATCATTTATGAATATATACATAATAGAGTATGAAAAGAGCATTTAAACAGAATATTAAGTACCATTCCATAAATTCCAATAGAATAGGTTCAGGAACTCTCGTGTCAACCACTTTTCTTTCGTCCTCGGACATTTATACGTTTTGTTGCCAACCGTTTAATTTATGGTGCCTCTAAGGCATCCTACCCTACACTTTAGCTCAACACCTATAAAAAAATTCTCAAGAAATTTCAATCATGTCTGCAACGGAGTTCGTTGAGACAGATAGGATAGATAGGATAGGACCACAGTTAGATAAAATCTAAATTTTCCACAAAAGTCCACTCTTTCTTTTGTTTACAGGTTCGAGTTATTTGGCTATAGCAACTGCATTCGTCACCTTCCCTATGAAACCCCTTGCCCAATATCATAGTGGTTGTGTTCCCCCCTTGATGACTCGATCTTTAGCTCAACCATTGTTAATCTCAAAAGGAAAACAGACCATCGTTAATCTCAAAACAAAAATAGTATCAATTCAAGCATAACTCATTGAATGAGACATCATTTACCATTTAAAAAACACACCAATAGAGAGACAATACATCAATTATTGTTTCAAAAATCACTGATTTGATCTTCCCCTCAGCCATTGTTAACCTCAAAAGAAAAAGAAGTATCTACATACAAGTACATCCGAGGATGATACGACATCGATTACCATTTCAAAAGTCAATGGTTCGATCTTCCACTGAACCATCGTTGATCTCATACATACGTACATGTAAATCCGAGCACAACTCATTAGATAAAACACCAACTACAATTTCAAAAGCATAAGGTTCGATCTTCCACGCAAAGAGAGAGTAAAAAAGCACATGAGGGAGAGTGGTCCAAGTCCTAAATGGTTTAGGTAGAGAGGGAAAAGGAAAAGGCTATATATGTTGTGTACATTGCAAAGACATAGACATAGCCATAGCCATAGCCATAGCCATTATAGACATAGACATAGACATAGACATGGGCCTCATGATATCATTCTTCCTTTATAAACCAAACAAACAATCCCAATTCCAAACCCTAAACCCACAATGTTGGGCCTAAATCAGAAAAACCCTAATTTTATTTTTTATATAATTTAATTTAATTTCCATTTAATTCTCTTTTTTAAAAAAAGAAAAAAAAAATCTCATAAAGAAAAAGCTGCCAAGTCATTGCCAAATCAATATAGAAAAATGAGAAAGCATTGAGTCAAAGTGGTCAAACTTGTACAGCTCAGAAAACATAATCCAACACATAATATAATAAATAAAAATATTTCAAATTTTTATTTTTTAAAAAAAATTAAAAAAATTAAATTTTGCAAATTCTGACCAAACCTTTCCCTTTCAGTTTCAGGCAATGATTCTATTTATTAATATCATTTTATTTGGATTTCAAGTTTACATTACTTTAAAGGTTATTTATTTATTTATTTATTATTATTATTTTTAATATTAAATCTAAACCAAATTAATTTCAATAATTCAAATTTTTCTTGGCCTATAAGATTCGGATTCGATTTTTTTCCGCTCTTGTTAATGCTATCATAGAAAAAACGAGATGGTAACGAAGAAATATTAGTTGTGTTTTACGACGTTTAAAATAGATGGGTTTTAGAACGATTGACGTATTCCAGAATCTTCCAATTTCCCGAGAAACAAAGTCGTAGACATGTAGGTTTAGGGTTCACTGTTAGATGAATTTTAGAATGACTTGCGTTTTTTGTTCACTTGAACTATGATCATATTAGAAATGAAGTTACAACTTAGGACGAGTGACATGAAGTTTAACTTCAAATTGAATGTGCTCGAACGACCTGACTTTTTGTTTATGAATCGAACAAGATTTGAAATATAAAAATGTTATAATTAAAATAAACGAAAGAAAATTTTAATAAGAGCCAACATCATTAGTTCCCATAAACTATGAGAGTTTTTGAAAAATCAAAAGCAAAAACGTTTTAAATATCAAAACATAAAGTTTCGAGTCACCCATGATTGGTTTCTTACCCTGTTCGTCACTTACTCGTCACAACCTTGTCTGAGAATCACAAAAAATCAGGGCAACTATTTAACATTTAGTAAAAAGATGAGATCTCACATTGATTGGAGAGGAAAACAAGTGCCAACGAGGACGTTGGGCCTTGCCTTGAAGAGGGTGGACATCAGGCGGTGTACCAACAAGGATATTGAGCCTCAAAGGGGGTTGGACACCGACAATGTGTCAGCGAGGATGTTGAGTCCCTAAAGGGGGTGGATTTATGAGATCCCACATCAATTGGATAAAGAAACGAAACATTCTTTGTAAGTATAAGGAAACCTCCCGCTAACAAACACATTTTAAAACTTTGAGGAGAAACCGATAAGAAAAAACTCCAAAAAGACAATGTCTACTGTTGGTGGACTTGGCTGTTACAAAGAAACTCTCGTATTCGACTATAAGTAATCCAAATGTTCTATATACAAAGATTCGGATTTAAAATCGTATTCAAATTTAATATCGATCCAAATCTAGTAAACTTTTCTAAATGTAACGATCATTTAATCTCGGAATCGTGGTAAGATTTTATAATCTTCATAGAAAATCAAATCTAGAGCTTTTAAATTGAAGGATTAAATTCAAAATTTTTGATATGATTCTTCCCTATCACATATTATGATATAAATCTCTCCACTTTTCCCCCCATACACACATCCTCTGTTCTGAAATGGGTACCTCTTCTTGTACAGCCACCTCCCTCCATGGCTTCTACCACTTCCTCTCCCACCAGCTCGACGACCTTGATCATGCCTTCCTCTCCTCCGACTTCATGTCCCTTCACTTTCTCCACAAAGTCCTTTCTCTTCTCAGAGCTCTCCACACCCACCTTATTCAGCTCGGCCACCGCCTCCACCTCCCCGTCGGAGGCAAGTGGCTCGACGAGTACATGGACGACAGCTCCCGTCTCTGGGATGCTTGTCAAGTCCTCAAATCCGGCATCTCAAGGATTGAACTTTACCATTCTGAAGCTTCTGCCATATCTTCTTCTTTGCAGGATCCTCACCTTCTTCGTTTCAATCATCGCGCTTCTCAAAGGGTCTGTTTAGATTTGAATTGGGTTCAGTTTGGCTCTTAAGTTTTGTTCTTTTTCATGTATATTGTTCTGGGTTTCTTCTGTTTTTCTCTGTTTTTCTCTGTTTTACTCTGTTTTCCTCTGTTCTTGAAGGTTCTTCGTGCAATTTATGATTTGGAGAGGAATGGTTTTGTGTTAGAGGAGGAGAATAGAATCTTGATGAATACACGTATTCAGCCATTGTCTCTGCTCTGTTTCAACGACAACAGCGCATTGACAGGAATGGGATCAACGTCGAAGTCGAATGCGTTCAATGGATTCAGAGGCGTTCTTCATGCAGTAAAGAGTATCAGTTCATTGCTTCTAATGATTTTACTCTGTTCTCTCGTGTATTGTTGGCCAGAATCCAGCTTCCATGCGAATGATGGGATTGAAAATGAAGATGATCACCATCAAAGAACCACGTTCAGCTCAAGCTTTGTAGCTTCAATGGCGAGATTGAGACAGAGAGTGGCAAATGAGATAGACAGAGTAGAAGGGCAGCCGGTGGGGATCCTGCTGTTTGAGTTCAGAGAAGCAAAGGCAGCCATGGATGACCTGAAAACAGAGCTCGAGAAGGGATTGGAAGAAGAAGAAGAAGAAGAAGAAGAAGAAGAAGAAGAAGAAGAAGAAGAAGAAGAAGTTGAAATTGAAGAGAAATTAGAGAAGTTGAAGAGTTGGAATGGAGCATTGAGAAGTGGGGTGGACGCCATTGTTGGAGAGCTCGATGATTTCTTTGATGAAATTGTTGAGGGAAGAAAGAAGCTTTTAGACATTTGCACTCATAACAGGTAGAGAGAGAAAGAACAGCATCTGGGTATGTTTCAAGATGCAAACTTTAACAAGAATGTATTGAAATTTTTGGAAAAAAAGAGAGTAATTGAAGCAGAACTGTTTATTTTCATTAAGTTTTTGTGTTGTTTTTGAAGTCACATTGTTTATTGGATGTGTGTGTGTGTGAGAGAGAGAGAGAGAGAGAGGCATTGATTCTTCAATTGCTTTGAAGAAAAGCAGCAAACAGAGCAAAATCCAGAAGAAAAAAGGGAGAGAGAAATGCAGATTTTTGCACTAAAAAAAAGAAAGATTCTTTGAAGAGAAAAGGAGACAGTTTCATACACAAGTTTGATTTTAAATTTCTAGCTTATGAAAATTTAATAAACAACCTAGTGGAACACGATTCTTCACAATGGTATAATATTGTCCACTATAAGTTTTCATGACTTTACTTTAGGCTTCTCCAAAGAGTTTCATTCCAATGAAGATAGTATTTCTGGATTATAAATCCATTATAATTCTCTAAATTAGCCAATGTACGACTTTCATCCAACTTGTATTTCAATAAATAACTAAACGATATGTTACCCTTTATAAACAAAGTATAAAGGTAATTATGCACTTACCACTAACAACGCTTTATAATTTTAAAACTAAGAACAGTTCTAGATATTATAATAATGAAGTTCATTCATAGTATAGATCAAGAAATATGTAAATCGAGCGGTTGGAACGTTGTTTCAAAAGAGCTATTGAATAAGTTATGTTTTAGCTCAAAAGAGTATAACATGATGATGATGGTACTCCTCCCTACCCACAAGACCATTTAGACAATGACATTTAGGGTTCCTTTTCATGGCCCTTTCAATCTCTCCAATCAGGTGTAATATAATCCTCCCATGAAGAAAGGCCTTTCAATTTTCTTCTCCCTGAAGCTAAGTCAATATTTTAATATAATTTTCATATCAAAATAAGTTGACAATAATAATAATAAAAAA